ATCAAGATCTAAATCTGAAAGGCCGTTAACTAAATGAAGCAAGTATAGATATATGCCAATATGATCCGATAATAACCCTATCGGATTTGTTATAATAATATAATATATTTTATATATTATCGCATAATTTATTATGCATAATTTTTTTCATTATAAAACTTGTATCATACCTTACACATAATTTTCAAATAATAAATAATATTAGATAATAGTATTATATTGTTAATTATAATATTGGGAGTGTTTTAAATTTTTTATTAATTGAAATAAGATTAAAAAAATATCTAATTTATTTTATAAATTAAACAACCAAAGACCAACGGTTGGAATTACTTTCTTTGTTCCCAACTTTACACATCAAATACTCACTAAAATATCACATGATTTGCAATTTATAAATACGTGGGTCAAGAATTAGGTAAAATGTTATATAAGTACTCTTTTAATTCTAGGATTTAGAAATTGACTAATATAAAATTTTTATCTTCCTAATTTCTTTCATTTCCAATCGGATTATCTTGAATATGGATTTAAGAATCAAAATATTCGTTGGATTATCGATCGGATCGAATAATTATTTTTATCGAATCAGATCGAATATTGGCAAATCCGATCCATTTATAGCCTTACTTATGTGAGCTTATATTTAAAAAGAAAAACAAACTTAAACAATATAGAGACTCGATGTAATGGCCCGAGCCTTAAATCATATGTATTGCTGACTTTGAGAGTTTGTATCTATTTTATCCCTTAGGGGTTTCATCTAGTTTTCCAGAATTTAAAATCAAGACAATTGTCTTATGAGAGACTTAAATCGAATCTTGATGCCATTTTTTTTTATCGATTCGAGCATGTATCCAAACCATTAAATCATATGTACCATCCATTTTCGGAGAGTTTGTGTCAATCTTATTTTTCACGACTTTCTATCGCATTTCTCTTAGATTGAACCCAAAATCTCTACCTTATAAGAAAATTAAGTTGAATCTTGATATTAATTGATTCGCTCAAGCAATATTAAAATTTAACTTAAGTCTTTCATAAGATAGAAGTGAACTTATTCTATTAAATTGAACACTATGTATGATGTAACGAGTACAAGTCGGATCATTACACTCGACATGACTCTTTATTTGCCTAGATAATATTAAGCTCGATGCAGTTAAAAATGCAAATGACAACTTCACAATCATCCCAAAATCATAACATGCCTAACAATGGATGTTTGTAAATAATGTTAGGCCCGAAACGGTTAGGCAACACTTAAGAGCCATGTTGGCTCGAAGGTAGCCTAAATTGATCTACCAGTTCAGAATCGGATTGATTAAACACAACCATACTAACACTGTCTCGTGTTTGTATATCCATTGATGAGGGTAGGGTCCATTGCAGAAAAATGGTACGGTTCATCCCTTTCCTCGTGGCTTCCAGCACAGTTCCGAGTCTCAGTTAGTGGCCACGGTCACGTCGTAATCATCACTCAGAATTATACTCTGATTTTGAATTTGGTCGCACCTACATAACCTTGATTTTTTTAGTCTTTTTGGTTGATCCCAGTAAAATGGTCTCAGATATTTACGATCAACAGGTTGTGTTTAACCAATAATTTAACAGATGAAAAAAAAAAAATCAAATATTTATATCAGATATTTTTTTATGTTTACGAAAATTCTATTATTCTAAATTTTCTCCTCAAGAACAACTTATTTATTTATTTATTTATTTTTTTGTAAAGAAAATTCCATTCTTCAAGTTTAACAAATTGTTGAAGATGAAAAAAAAAATATTTACAGTGAGATCTTCAATTTTTGACAAATTAAGCACTTGAGTCCTTAGTCAATTATTTTATTCTTTAAACTTTTTATATCGTTAACCTTTTATCTTTGGTGCACATTGTTTTTTCTATTTTTCCTGTTAGATTGTAACGGGCATTGCACGTAGGCTCTTTTCTAGGGATTTTTTTTTTTTTTTAATCAATTCATCTCTATTTTTCTGAAAATCAACTAAGATCCCGAAAAGGAAAGAAGAGAAAAGAACTATAAAAGACCGATAAAAAAAAGAAAGAAAAGTAGAAACACCCATACAAAGTCCTACGTCCATTGAGTGGACACCAAACAGCCACATTTGTAGAGAAATCATAGCTAGTGAGGGGAAGTCTTCTTATGTTGGGGAAGCAACCTAGAAAGTACACTAAGAATACAACTTTTAATGGTTTGGACCGATCTAATCAAATTTACACCTCTAATCTAAATAAAAAGGCCATGCACAACAAAAAAGTTGCAAGATTAGAGACATATCTAGGACCTTGATTGGTTGGTGGATCGAAGAAAGATATTGAGGTCTCGTAGGTCCTAATTGGGACGCTGACTATGTAACAGTAAGAAGTTGGAAAGTAACTTTAGCAAGGTCGAATGGTCACACCTTTGTCCTTGCAAACTACCATAACTTGTTTATATATGTTGGAATTTTATGGTAATACAAGGATTAAAACATGTGAATTGTAAAAGCCTCCAATAGATGCGTCCACTGGATGCGACTCTTCAAGTGCAAAAGATGTATAATAAATAGTCAAGATCTTTTGATAAGATGCAATCTAGTCAATCAATTTTGAAATGGTGTGATCTAACGGTTGTAATTAATTAATTTTGCCAAAAGATGCAATCGTTGTAAAGTAACACATAGAAATCTATAAATAGGACTCTCGTGATTCCATTTTCTTCACTCCAAATCAATTCTATATAATTAATTTCTAATTCTTTCTTTCGCCAAATTATGTTAAAATATTTTTTTAAATTATTTGAGTTTCGTGTTCGATATTTAGTAGTTGATATCTTTCGTTCTAGAAGAGTATGATCAAGCGCTAGTTTGCCCAATAAAATTAATATTGTACTATGTCAATTTTGGAAGAAGTATTGTATCTTGAAAGACAAATGTCCCTTTAATCCTGCTGGCACCGATGCAATGGTTGAAATCTATTTTAGGGAAATTTACATTCGCACACCTCGCTTCATTTTATCTATTTCTAATTTTTGCGTTTCAATAAGTCAAAAATATATGTAATTAACTTGATTTTGGTAAGTCAAAATTCTATTAAATATGTAATAGTTTACAAGTCACGATTTTATCTTCTTCTTATGCACGTAATTTTAATTATCGAAATATAATTATGTACCATTTATCCAACAATATATACTTAAAATACTCATCGTGCTCAACCCAAAATTTAACCATATTCTACATGTACATTTATCGTTTAAAAATGAATTCGTTATCACTTAATACATATTTATGTAACAATAATAAATTGACATAATTAGCCTAATAGAGGACTATATTAGCAATATAGGCCTCTCTTTTTTCTGAGCCTTACTTACCGCCAACAGAATAATGGTGCTAGCCTAGCGGATTAAATTTTTTATTTTCCCTTTCAATTTTATGATGGTTTTAGTAATTTTGCCTATTTTGACTGTCCATAAGAATAAATTTACATTGGATTATTGCTTCAAACTCTTACCCAACAATTTTTACATGATTTATATTTCGAAATCTATTAATTTAGAACGAGAGCACGGAGAATTGGACAAAGCCAAAATAAAAAACTATTATTGTATATGGCCACGGTTTCATCTGAACTTATTTCTAATATTAGAGTATTCAACTGTAGAACGTGGAATTTCTCAATTTAGGCCCCGTTTGATTCCCATTTTTCTAAGAATCAGAATGAAAAATATAGCCGTCACGGGATTCATACAATAGATAGAAAGTCAAATATGGTGACTTGATATGATGAATAACGTCATATTTTTCATTTTTGTGACTAAAAAATGAGAATCGAATGGGAGTTTAGTGATATAACCAAAGTTAACCCAAGTCATATCAGACTCTCTTAGCCCTTGTTTGAGCCCCATTCTTTTTATAAGGATAAATTTTTAAATAGTGTATTGATGAAAATTGATGATTAAAAAAAGGAAAAAAAATTTGAATTTGCATATAATATTATTTTACTGGAGAATATTCAATTGAAATGCTGTCAAAATATTGTTTGAAAATATATTCCCCCGCCCACCCACCAAAGAATGGGACTTAAAGTCTCAACCTAGTTAATTAATTCTCTTTTATATTCAACGATCAATTATTCAATGTGTGTAACACGTCACTTGTATTGCACGAACAATCTAAACGAAAATTAATTTGATAGAAAAGCACGATACATAACGTCTGACATGTGGTGTTTATATAATTAACAGATAATATCGTGTTAACATAATTGAATTGAATGAAATCCAAGATAGATGAAAAAAATATTGACTTGGATAAATAACCATTCAACCCAAAGTTAACCATTGTTAAAAGTTGTCAAACCCCTTTTTTGTCCACTTAAAGACTGCATTGCTTTTAGAGCTAACCCTTGACTTCCTTCCATTAATGTAATTATTAAAGTAATCTAGTTAGACTATTTCACTAACTACAATACCTTCTTGTTTTCAAAATCTCGGGAGGATTCCATTAATCTATTCGAACTACCGTAATCAATAAAATTCAATTAAATCCAACCCACTAAGAAAGAGAATGAATTTATTAATATTTTACTATTCAACCCAATTTAACAAATAATTGTTGATTATTTTATTTATTAAACAAATGAAGAAACATATAAAACTAGGAAATGGGTAGCTTGCATTAAGATCTTTGTTGTTTACTGACTTTCGAAGGTAGATCAGAAAGTTTCTTCAGATCCTAAGAAAAAGGATTGGCACTATTTATTTTTAATAAATAATTTCTTCTCTTCATTTGACACTCCAAATAATTTATCCCAAACAAACACTAATTCTCGTAAATAAAAAAAGAAAGGGAAAATACCATAAAGGCCCTCCCTGCGTACGTGCGAAGACTTTTATTTACGTACCTTTTTTTTTTTTTTTTTTTTACAAATAAAACCCCTATAAAGGCCCTCCCTGCGTACGTGCGAAGACTTTTATTTAACATATACACATCTAGGGAGTTGGGTAGAGAGGACTGAGATTATAGGTGTGAATGGAATCGGGTGCAAATATTTATTGAAGAAAATCCACGGTTTTTCAGTTCTTGGTTTTGCTTTGGCTTGTGTCTTCTTACTTCGGTTCTGAATATTAGTTTATTAGTTTTCTTTTTTGTTATTGGCCGATTTTTGTATTTTTTTCCTGTTGAAGATAGATGGGAGGTTGTAAAGTTGAGTGATTTTTTTATTTTTTTGCTTGAGAGCTGATATTTTACGGGGTTTACTCTTTCTTTTAAGGTGTTTTCTTCTGAACTAAACAAGGAGAACTAGAAGATTTTGATTTGAGTTTTTCAATTTTGAATTGTTCTGGAGTTTTTGAAGTTTGTGCAGATGGATTTGTTTGGCAGCCGGAGATAAAAGTGGTAAAAAAAAAAAAAAAACTGAATTTCTTTTGGTTCTATTTATTACTGTTGGTAAAAAAAAAAAAAAAAATTTATTGTGTAGAAAGCATTGATTTGTTATTATACATAAGAAATCTACCTTTATTTTGCAGCTTTGGATGTTTGAGCTTTGAAGGGTGATAAACGAGATTCTAAAGAAAGGGGCTTTTATGCATTGAGTTTTGGGTTTTATTCCTGTGAGATAGGATTGTTGATTGAGATGATTACATTTATAGAATCCAAAGAGAAAACGAAGGAAAACGAGAAATGTTTGGATTCTCAATTATGGCATGCTTGTGCTGGTAGTATGGTCCAAATGCCTCCGATGAATTCAAATGTGTTTTACTTCCCACAGGGGCACGCCGAGCACGCCTCTGGAAATGTAGATTTTAGGAGCTGCCCTAGAGTTCCGCCTTATATACCTTGTAGAGTTTCTGCAATTAAATTCATGGCTGATCCTGAGACTGATGAGGTTTTTACAAAGATGCGATTGGTTCCCGTTAATGGGAATGAGGCTGATTTTGATGAAAGTGGGGTTGTTGGGATGAATGGTTCGGATAATCCTGATAAACCCTCTTCATTTGCTAAGACGTTAACACAATCTGATGCGAACAATGGTGGGGGGTTTTCTGTACCGAGGTATTGTGCGGAGACGATTTTTCCTCGACTAGACTACTCCTCGGATCCTCCCGTTCAGACCGTTTTGGCAAAGGATGTTCACGGGGAGACTTGGAAATTTAGGCACATTTACAGAGGGACGCCAAGGCGCCATCTCTTGACAACAGGATGGAGTACTTTTGTGAACCACAAGAAGCTCGTGGCAGGTGATTCAGTTGTGTTTCTGAGGGCCGAAAATGGGGATCTTTGCATTGGAATCAGGCGGGCGAAGAGAGGAATTGATGGGGGACTGGAAACGCCATCCCTGTGGAATCCGGCAGGTGGCAGTTGCTTCGTGCCATATGGAGGGTTTTCAGACTTTCTGAGGGAAGATGAGAATAGATTGACCAGAAATGGTAGTGGAAATTCAGGCAGGAATTTAATTGGCCTGGGAAGAGTGAAGCCCGAATCGGTTATTGAAGCTGCAACTCTTGCTTCCAGTGGACAACCTTTTGAGGTGGTTTATTATCCTCGATCTGGCACTTCTGAGTTTTGTGTGAAGGCGTCTATTGTAAAGACGGCATTGCAAATTCGTTGGTGCTCAGGCATGAGGTTCAAGATGGCCTTTGAAACAGAGGATTCTTCACGAATAAGTTGGTTCATGGGAACCATATCGTCAGTTCAGGTTGTTGACCCCATTCGCTGGCCGGATTCACCTTGGAGACTTCTCCAGGTAATGCAGTTAGTGTTAAATACATCTTGTTAATCGGGTTATAGTTATTTCTGCTTGCTAATGCTGGAAGTTTTATTCTTTCTGGCTCTGCACAAATTTCTGCTCAAGCACGATGTTCCAAGGGCAATTGAATAAAATCTTGTATGCTATTCCCTTGCAACCTTGCGATAATGCTGTTATATTTTGGATCATAAGTAGCTAGGTTCAGTTCATTATAATAATTGCATGATATTTCCCACAAGTTTACCAGATATTTTAAGATTAATCTTCTTCTCTCAGTATGTACTCTGTTAGTTTTTTTAACGAATTGTACTCATCAGATTTCCTCTCTCTTTTTCCTTGGAGATCTTTTCATGCATTGTTAGAAGACACTTATTTTAGAAATATGTACATATGTGATTTTGCTTTGGTTTAAATTTGTGATTATGTAGAGTCAGTCCGATTATTGATGCTCCCTCAACTTTTACTTGCTGAAAGCTTTTAAGGCTTAACTTTGTAATATTGTAATATTTTCTGAAATTTGATAGATACCTTTCCTTAGCAAGAAGTGGACATTCTTTCCTTGTTTTTCCATGTACATCTTTGAGTTAAGACTTATTGCAGGTGATTTGGGATGAGCCTGATCTACTTCAAAATGTGAAACATGTGAGCCCGTGGCTGGTAGAATTAGTGTCAAACATGCCTACAATGCATCTCTCTCCTATTTCACCACCACGGAAGAAATTGAGATTAACACAACATCCTGACTTCCATCTCGATGGCCAACTTCCATTATCAGCTTTTTCAAGCAACCACGTCCTTGGGTCCAGCAACCCGTTTGGTTGTCTTCTTGACAATACTCCTGCTCGCATGCAGGGAGCCAGGCATGCTCAATATGGTCTATCAATATCAGATCACCATCTCAGTAAACTACAGTCAGGTTTGTTTCCGATTGGTTTCATGCCACTCAATCGAGCTTCTGTACACACAGGAACTTCCAATCTAGTCATACCCAAGCCAAGTAACAATGAGAATGTTTCTCGTACGGTATCCATGGGAAATTCCAACCACGTTTCAATAAGAAATAATAACAAGAAGGCAGGTCAATTTGTACTTTTTGGTCGACCAATTCTTACTGAGCAGCAGATTTCTCTGAGCGGCTCTGGCAATGCAGTTTCACCAATTCGCACGGGCAATATTTCTTTAGACGAAAATGCTGATAAGATGGGAAATACTTCTGATAAACCTAGTTCACCACTTAATCAACATGATGCACCAAAGCACTCATTATGTAAAGGATTTCATTCGGAGCTCAATTCCGAAACTGGTCACTGCAAGGTTTTCATGGAATCAGAAGACGTAGGTCGCACATTGGACATTTCTTTGCTCAGTTCTTATGAAGAATTATGCAAAAAACTGGAAAATATGTTTGATATTGAGATTTCGGAGATGCTGACTCATGTTGTGTACTGGGATGTCATGGGCGCAGTGCAAAAACTTGGTGATAAACCATTTAGGTAAAAGTTGTTAGTGCTTCTTTTCATATATGATAAGTGGTTTGTTCCTTCTAAACGAACTTGTTTTCACGTACATGATTTGTTTGTGATTGTTGCAGTGAATTCATGAAAACAGCGATAAGGTTGAAGATTTTAACTGATTCAAGCTGCAATAATATAGGAATGTAGAGCCATAACCAAACAGCAAAACCTCCTGTTGCTTATTGTACAGCAGAACTACTGAAAGCTTTGTTCCTGACCTCTATTTCCATATCCAAAATACGCATTTGGCTGATTTTCACAATTGATTCACCCTATGCACTTCCTGAAATTCACCGCCATAATTGAAACAGGAAAGCAGGAACTCCTGTATGTGCCTACTAGCAGGGAGTTCTCTTTTTCTTGGCTGATTCTCAAGCGTCCTACTGCCAATATCCGGTATTTTCAGTGACATGTTTCTGAAATATTGTTACCTTGTTTTGTATCTCTTCGAGGGTTTCCAATGTCCTGTTTGGAGGTATGTTCAGGGAATTCTTCATAGCGTTTTCTCGTTTTTTCAAGACAAATTGCTACAAAGAACAAGTTGAGCTTGCTTTTTGTAGGCTTTTGTCTTCTATAGTACACATTTTCTGTTATGCTGGTTTTTGAGAGGATAAACATTACCTTATTCTGTAAGCTTAAAATGAATTTTCTCTGTACAGCCAAAAGATTTCTTTTCAACTATAATTTCTGGATATTTGGAACCTTTCAAACCTTTGGCATGTGTTATGTCTAGGATCTTGTTAGATTTTATGATCAGATTTGCAACTGAAAATTTCATGATATTCTGGCAAAGTTGACGATATTTGCCATTCACCGGCGATGATAAAGTGGACTCGACTCATCAATAGCGTTCATTGTATTGTATAGTACAAGGTAGGAGATCAATTTCATTTTTTAGTATTAAGGCGCCGTGCCTTAAAGAGTTATGTTAAGGAACATAAGTCACGTGCTACACTAAATCCTTGACTTGAAACATTGGAAAGTGAAATTCCTAGTCAAGTGGCGCAAGCGTAGTGCAAGGAAATGTTTACGAGAAAAATGTTCCCTTTTCTCTATGGTACCTGGCTGTATATAGAATTATTTGCCACTCGTGTGTGTGAGAAAGAAAGGGCCCACTGCAACAATATGTTCACGTGCGAGTAGCAGTAGATTACTAGATTTTGCGAAGAGAGAGAGAGAGCTGTTTCTTGTAGTCGCACATTTTATGTCATATAATATTGCAACAAATCAAATTTCTTTCTTAAAAAAATGTTGAATCCTAGCCTTAAGGTTTCCCCACTACCTCACCCCTGGCGTATTGTGAGAGAGGTTAATCTTGGAATGTGTTTCAGTGGGTCAAGGATCAATAGCTGTCTGTATATTGATATTCATAAAGAGTTTCAATCTATGTTTTAGGAATCGAACTTTCACACTGCGGCTGTCAACAAAATTGAGTATACATCATCCTTGTTCTTTGCACCGCCGTGATATGTCCTGGAGGGCAAATTTCATTCTTTCATGAATTCAGAATAAATGTTCTCAATTTGCATATAAAAAGGGATTTTCAGTTTTAATCCAGGTTTCTTTATTTCTAATAGATATTATTAGTATAAAATCAAATTGAAAAACTCATAATAAATCGAGCATAAAAATTAATTTCTCATAATTATCGACACACAAGTTTGTAAAATTCAGAGTCTACGATATTAATTCTATTAATAGTCACCGACAGAGGAACCCGAACGGAAAGCCTAGCACATTTGGTGACAAGATAGTGAGTTGGATCACGTGAAACGACCAACAAAGTTTCCTTTTAACTTGTTTTAATTTTAATTTACTCGACCTTTTTCCTTATTTCATGTGTTGATGTTACAACACTTGGCATTAATTATCACTGCACCAATTTCTGTGGAATAACCGGCCCCGTTAGTCTATTTTGTGGTTGTACAATTGAGAATATGTTTGGTGGTGAAAACTTCAGTACATAAATTGTTGAGTTGTGCAGAACTTGTACACGGAATCTTGGCCCTATTTAGCCCCCATTTTTTAAAATAAAAATAGATGGAATAGTATATTTTCAAAAAATGAGTAATTGAAGAATTTTTTTTTTTTTATTTACACGTAATATTATTTCACACTTAGAATTTTAATTTTACTCCTCCCTGGGTAGAGAAAATAGGGTACGTGAATCTTGTAAAAAAAATTCATAATAGTAAAATATTCACGTTTAAATTCATAATAGTAAAATATTACAAAACGTGAAGGAGGACGTAATCTCGTATTGAATCGAATTTTTATAAATCTTGTACGTTCTTGTATGTTTATTTTCTTTCGGTGATTTATATTGCATTTGATAGTATATAATTAGGGTTTTTAATTTCGAACGTAGAATAATTTTTCGAGTGAAATTGATGACGAAAGAGAAAAAAATTTGTACAGAAAATGAAAAATAAGGAGAGAAGCAAACAATTTCTTTGTTTTTAGTAACCAACATCCCTGTACATCACCCACGCTTCATGTTGAAGATTATCGTTAATTGTCCTAAGTGATATACACATAACAATTTGTTATTTGATGTATTAACATAGTAATTTCTTATTGTCTCGTCAAGCAAATAATAAATTATTATGTGTGTATATATATATATTTCGTAAAACAATTATCAATAATTTTCACTATAAATAACATTATTCCACACTTTGTGCCATGATTTCTACAAAAGCAATAATGTAAAAACGACGGACAATTAATACGATAATAAAAAACAAACACGTATGACAAATGCACACTAGGCTCCTGTAAAGCATGCATATGAACAGGAGTTGTCTTCTTGGGATTAAGTACGCTTCGGAATTACGCTAACGAAGTGACAGTTTCCGTGTGATACCAATGTAAAGCTCAGAAAAGCTGTCTCTGAAGTGAAAAGGTCCACGCCAAAACAGTAGGGTCACTTTCAGTTTTGTGACATGTACGTCACCGGCTTTTAATCACTGTATTCTACTTGGGTAGGACGCTTTCTATATGCACAAGTACTCATTATTTAGATGATGACATCTCGAATATTGAATAATCCAAATCAAGACAATCAAAACATTTGAAGGTTCCTTTATTTCTCTCTTAATAGAGAAAAATTTCGATTTACACTGTTTTACATGGTGTGATCGTTTATCCCCCACTTGATGAGGTGATGACTTCCTATTCGAAGATCGTACCACGTTGGATGGTCTACGTGGTGCGACCGTCCCACCAAATTTTTTCCCTCTTAACATTGTGCCATAATTTGAGGCCATGTTTGATAGATCATGATTTCCATGGAAAATGAAAAATGAATTTCACTTTCCCACTTTTGCCATGTTTGATGGCAATTTTTTCCATGATATTTATTTTCTTGTTTTTCTTGCCATATGGCTATGTTGCCGATTTATTTATTTTTGCGATGGAAACAAATTCTATTACTAATTGTAAAAAAATATTTTCATTTAATTGACAATTTTCATGTAAAACAAAGTCAAATGAACGTCAAAAGATAGATGATTTTCTTGACTTTTTTTTCCCAATTGAAACAAATTCTATCTCTAATATCAATAAATTCTATCCTTTTAATTTACAATTTTCATGTAAAACAAAGTCAAACGAACACAAAAAAATACTTTTATTTCAACATTTTCTACGTAAAAAATTATATCAATCAAACACAATAATTGATAATTTTTAGTAAAACAATTTCTAGACAATTTAATTCCTTGAAATTCGTTTTCTTTCCACTCAAATTTCATCTTTGCAATCAAATGGAAACTATCAATCGTACCACTTGTTTTATAAGACTGCCATATTGAAGTTTTTTCACCTCTCTGCCCTTGCAAGGTTGGTTACTTGGTTTTATTTCATTTGTAACTTATGTTTTGTATAATCATGTGAAAACAGGGCACATTTGGCTCAATAGATCGGATAAGAATTAATGTTGGGGTTGGATTTATGCCGTACTATTTATTCAACAAATTATAAATTAAGAAAATATTAATTAAATTGGATTGCATAATTTTACCTACAAGATAAGAGCTAAGAATTTCACTTAAAAAAAAAAAATCACTTAAAACTAAGAAATACTTACAAACAAAATATTCACTTATAAGTAAAATATATATATAAGTAAAAAAAATTATAAGCAAAAATTTGTATATAAGTAAACTTCATAAAAAATGTATAAAATTATTTTATAAGTAGAAAATTTGTCTATGAGTAAATATTAACTTATGAGTTTCAAAAATTCTTATATAAGAAAAAAATCACTTATAAGTTAAAAATAACTTTATAATTAATAACTACTTATAAGCAAAAATTCCCTTATATGAATAAAAATTGCTCATAAGTAAAATAAAAAAAAATACTGCTTATAATTGAAAAAGTTCACTTATAAGTATAAAAAGTTATTTCTGTTGAATATTTATGAAATTTAAACTTTATAAACTTTACATAATTGTCAAGATCTTCATGTCAAATCACCAAGAAAAATAATTAATGCGGAACATACTTTGATCCATTGATTTGTATCTCAATTGATATATTATGAATTATAATATTTAAATCTTGTCTGCCGGATCTTTAATTTTGATTATGGATTCTTGAATTTTTCTTCTTGATTCTTGAATGTAAATTGCCTGTTCTTGATTGTGGGTTTTATGGATCTTTCTCTTCAATATACTTTCTCTAATATTCTTTTGTTGATGTGATGACACAAAAAATGAAAAAAATGCATATGAATTGGGGATTAAAATCCTATATATTTTGCACAAGTATTTCGCCCATCATGACAATTCTAAAAGATTCCCGTCTGTACACATATAATTCGAACCAAACTCTATTTAGATGCTCTAAACCTAATTATTTAATTCTTTTATTAGATCATTTTAATTTTCGACTTAACTTTAATATAGCTTTTATACACAATTAATTACATATGTCGATCCACATGACAAATTAATAATTTCCCAACAACTTCAACTTTAAAAAAATTACTTATATATGATAAATTACTTAAAATTACAAAATTCACTTATAACTATAGTATTAATATATAAGTAAAAAATAATTAAAAGTTAAAATTTTATTTAAAAGAAAAAAATATATATTTATAACTAAAAAAAATTAATTATAAATAAAAAGTTTTACTTACGAGTAAAAAAATCATACAAGAAAGTATAAGTAAAAAAATTATTTTAGTAAGTGTAAAAATTCTTATAAAAAATTTACCGTAATTAATTTTTTTAAACTTCCATTACTTGTGTGATCCTCTAATGCAGTTTAGCACCAAAACTCGAATTAGAACAATCCTTGAATAAAAGCAGATTCAAGGGGTGAATAGACTGGATTTGGAGGCTGAACCGGCTGGGTTCAAGTCCACTTCGTTGCTTGCTTTATGGATTTCTAATTTTCAAGTTTTTACCATTTTTAATTGTACCAGATTTTGGGATGTATTAGAGTATACAAAGAATTTTAATTCCAAATTTTTATCATTTATTTATAAAAATTGTTCACGTGACATCCATTTGAGGGGAAAAAAAAGTATGATTTACAGAGGTTGATTAAATGTTATATTTAAATGATTAAATTTTCTTCTTGAAATCATAAATTTTTATTTGAAATGGTTCAAGTATTCTTCCTATTTTGGAACTGTTTGTCAGGTCTATAAAATGCGTTTAAATCATTTAGCCCTTTGTCCCTATTTTTTAAAAT